AGAAGAATTGCTTCTTTTATCGGTTATAATTCATTATTTGTCTCCCCTAGTCCTTCTTTCTATTAAACTAGACATATCCAGTTCCTGCAACCGTTCTTCATATGTTTTAGCCTCCAGTCCCCTAATCATCTTTGTTGCTCTTCTCGGCACTCTTTCTAGAACTCCGCATCTTTTCTACATCATGATTAATTAAAGCCAATTACCTTATAAAGGCCACTGACGAAATTATGGTACTTCACACCATGCTCCAGCGATGCCGCTTCGATCCTGGTTTTCCAAAGCTGAAAGAGAAAGTGCAATATTCGTAGGATTTTGCCAGGGATGGCCCTAAAGAACATAGGGCCATCCCTGGCATTCAAACCAGGGGAAAAATCTGTTTCCCGAAGTCCTATCTGGAGATGCTAAACTAAATCAAGGATTTTTACCGTGTCTACCTATTATGTGGAAACGACAGTATGTGTCTATCACATGGAGACGGACAGCAAGAGAATAGAAATGGATTCTCCAGGGCCAAGAAATTAAAACTTTCAACATTGGGAAAATAAATTTACGCAGGATCCAATTTGGGTCGGTCACCAGGACCAGAGGTTTAATTTTCCAAGATTTTGGATTTATGCTACAGCCCATCCTTGGGAAACATCTCTCTACCGAGGTGGAGCAGTGGTTAGAGCTGAGGTGGTACAGTGGTTAGAGTGCAGTACTGGAGACTACTTCATTGGACTGCTAGCTGCAGCTTGCAGTTCAAATCTCACCAGCTCCTGGTTGACTCAGCCTTGTATCCTTCCGAGGTAGGGGTAAAATGAGGATCCAAATTGTTGGGGGCAAGAGGCTGACTCTGTAAACCACTTAGAGAGGGCTATAAAGCACTGCAAAGCGGTATATAAGTCTATTGCTACCTGAATGTATGCTTTGGGTTTTTCTATGTGTAGTATTTATATGGTGCCTGGTTGTGTGGCTTTTTAGTTGTTGACTGGGTGTTGATGTCCAGCTACTAAGTAGTTTCTGTTGTTTCCTGGTGCTGCCAATCCTCCACTCCTAGTTATCTGATAAGCTGGCGGTAAATCAGCACTCCTGTTGACTGACAAGGGGCCTGTTCAATCATTTCCCTGGCTGTTTTTGTACCTGCTCAGCCAAAAATCCTGGTAGCTGCAAAATTGAAGGCTGAATAAATTGAAATTGAATAAATGCATGGCTATTATTTAGTGAGTTGAGACTTTGGACATTAGGTATTATGTAGCTTATGCATGGACAATGGCTATGAAATACAATCATCCTTAACTGAAACTGTTACATAAAATCACACACACACACGATATTTTATGTAATATTCAATTAAGGATGACTGTATTTCATATCTGCCTCTTTCTCTTTCTCTTTCTCTCTCATACACAAAATTTACATTGTTGTAATTGCATTGCTGCTTGCTTTTCTCTTTCAGTTATTCAACTTTGTCACGCTCTAGTAAATAAATAAAGCACATTTTCTTAAAATGAGCACCCAGCAATTATAGAAAGTAGAAACTCAGCAGAAGATGGGCATTTCAGGATGCACAATATTTCATAAATATCTCAAATGTTTTTGGGTCTTCCTTACCGTCCTCATATCTCTCTTTTTCAGATATCTGGCCTTGGTGGCGTACACAAAAGCCCTCCGAACAGCTCGATATGCCAAGCTATAGCAGCGATTCTTCCGTCCACGAAAATGCTAGAGAGAAAGGAAAGGAGGACACAAAGAGAGCAAAATATATATATTCGATTCCCAGTAAGGGTATGGCTAGCTGATGAGAGCTAAATAGCTTGAAATANGAGCTCTTTGGGAACACGTTTCCTTCACGGATGTTTCAACAGGCGGGAAAATATTCCTTCGGGTTCATTTCCTTCTCCCTCGGCTGCAAGCAGTCCTTCTTCGCCTCTTCTTTTCGCTAAAGCAGCTAAAGATTTGAATGTCTTTGGTTCATAGATGGCCAGATCAGCTAATGATTTCCGATTCAGTTCTACTTGACACTGCAATGTGGGAGAAATAAAGAAAAAAAAAGAGATGAGTTGGATGTGCATTTCCTGTATTTTCATCCTATCCAACCAGGAAAAGCTGAAGAAAGAAAGGGGGAAAAAACCAGAATTGAACTTTGTACAAAAAAACAAATATTTGTAAACTTTGATGCCCTTTTGCAATCCTTCCCCATTTTTGAAAAATTAGATTTAAAGTCACTCATGCTCACAGTGATGAACCAAAGCCCTGTGGCCATCAACGGGACAAAAACAAAAACCTTAAAATAAAATAAAACATCCAGAATATAAATTTAAAAGATTAAAATAAAGCAATGCTAACAAAAGTAGTGATAAATTCGTGGTGTCATTTCATCGGCTACAGGCTCTCTGGAAGAATGAGATATTGAAAAGCGTCTGGAAATGTAAAATAGAAAGAAAAAAAATTACAATACAATAGCAGAGTTGGAAGGGACCTTGGAGGTCTTCTAGTCCAACCCCATGCCTAAACAGGAAACCCTATACCGTTTCAGACAAATGGCTATCCAACATCTTCTTAAAGACTTCCAGTGTTGGGGCATTCACAACTCCTGGAGGAAACTTCTGTTCCACTGATTAATTGTTCTAACTGTCGGGAAATTTCTCCTCAGTTCTAAGTTGCTTCTCTTCTTGATTAGTTTCCACCCATTGCTTCTTGTCCTGCCCTCAGGTGCTTTGGAGAATAGCTTGACTCCTTCTTCTTTGTGGCAACCCCTGAGATATTGGAAAACTGCTATCATGTCTCCCCTAGTCCTTCTTTTCATTAAACTAGACATACCCAGTTCCCAAATGGCTATCCAACATCTTCTTAAAGACTTCCAGTGTTGGGGCATTCACAACTCCTGGAGGAAACTTCTGTTCCACTGATTAATTGTTCTAACTGTCGGGAAATTTCTCCTCAGTTCTAGGTTGCTTCTCTCCTTGATTAGTTTCCACCCATTGCTTCTTGTCCTGCCCTCAGGTGCTTTGGAGAATAGCTTGACTCCTTCTTCTTTGTGGCAACCCCTGAGATATTGGGAAACTGCTATCATGTCTCCCCTAGTCCTTCTTTTCATTAAACTAGACATCCCCAGTTCCCAAATGGCTATCCAACCTCTTCTTAAAGACTTCCAGTGTTGGGGCATTCACAACTTCTGGAGGCAAGTTGTTCCACTGATTCATTGTCCTCGCTGTCAGGAAATTTCTCCTTAGTCCTAAGTTGCTTCTCTCCTTGATTAGTTTCCACCCATTGCTTCTTGTCCTGCCCTCAGGTGCTTTGGAGAATAGCTTGACGCCTTCTTCTTTGTGGCAGCCCCTGAGATATTGAGACATTTGAAACAAAGGCATTGCAAACCAATGTACATTCTCCTCATCTTCCTGCAGGTTCAGGCTTGCCTTGGTTGGCTTTGTGCCATGATCTCAATGTCGCTGGTGATTGCTTTGGCCTACACTTTAGGAGACTCCCACAGCTTCTATTCACCGGTCATTGCCATTTATCAAGCTGTTCATCGGACGCTTTGGGCGATTGCTGTAGGATGGATCATTTTCGCATGTGAGGAAGGCTATGGAGGTA